ACACACACACACACACACACACACACACACACACACATACATTCTCCTGTCTATTGATGGGGAGCGCCACCTGTTGGAAACTGGGTCCAGCATCCCATGAACATCGTCAATAAAGCACCAACCGGGACCGCACACGCACTCTTTTCGAGATATATATAGCGAACATGACAAAACATACATATAGCATAATCACTACCTTACCCTTCCTGAACCACATAAACAAACCAACTACGGGCTGCGCACCCTTGCCCTCACGGTAAGTCAATGATCAACCTGGACTACTCTGGTCTCTTTATCAAGATTGGAAGCAGACGGACCCTCCACCACAAAGCCCCCAAAGCCATCCCACCTGTGGCTCTAACCCCCCAAAGCAAGGCCCTCAGGTAACCCGCTACAACATGGTCATACACTCCACTAGGCCTATCAGGCCCGGGCTACATCTGTACTCTACTCTGTGATGCAAGGGGGAATCAGAATCCAACCCTGGCCCTGTTCCCTTCAGCATCAAAGCTCAACACACTGAACTAGACCATCCGATCTATCTGCAAATCCAAGCCCGGATGTCTTCCCGGAGCAGCATCCACCCTCCACCTCAACGCACTAAACTACTTCATCACCTGATCTACCTGCGCCCTGTGACCCTAACCCCTGGACATTCGGCGGCGCTTGGCATCCACCCTGCAGCATCCAGCCTCAACGCACTAAACTGCTACATCATCTAATCTATCTCTGCACTGTACGGTTGGGAGACAAGTACCTGGGTGCCAGCCTAGCGCCAGCTGATCACGCACACGGACGGTTGAGGCCAGACAACATAGAACCCGCAACCTCCTTATTGCGACGTCACAGCTCGAACCACTGAGCTACCAATACTTCCCCTGTTTGCTTTCTGCTCAGTCATTGCATGGACGGTGGAGGTGGGGCTCTGCCCGTAAGAGTGGGTGGGAGAGAGACCCATCGGCCTCCGTTTTTGCTCTGTTGTAGGGCACTGGGCCCAAAGAAAGGGGGCCCCCTTGAATCCCCCATCACAACTACGCCCGAAGAGGTAGTGGGAACCAGGGGCCTCGGTGCACTACACAATATTCAAAATGCATCTCCCCTCAATCTTGTCCCAATGCATTCAGAATGCCTTGTCACTATCTGGACTCGACTTAGCCTAGATACGTTCTGTTTGATTTTTTAAATTTAATTTAATTTATTTATTATTTTTATTATTTTTTATTTGGAAGGTAAAAAAAAAAGAAGTTGAGAGAAGAATCTAGACAGTTGTGATCAACCCAAAAAAAAAAAAAAAAAAAAAAAAAAAAAAAAAAAAAAAAAAAAAAAGCCAGCGCTTACACCTTGGGCCTCGGCTCACAGAGGTTGCGAAAGGTTGATAGGTTCCCCTATCAACCTTTTGGGGAGTCCAACCCTCGTGTTTGAATTTGTTCACATTTATTTATTTATTTACTACGTTTATTAATTTACAACCTAATTAGTGAATACAAATACAAATTAAGAAAAAATTCAGATTCCCAGAATCTGATTTGAATTTGCCACGTTTCCTTCGCTTCTCGTGTTTGCGAGTTCGTGTCCGCCTTCGCGTAAGCGCCCCTGATGGGGCATACTCGCGCAAGGGCTTTTGCGAATCCTCCCTGACCGTGATTCCCGTCGGAATACATCCCCTGCGGGCGGTAATCGCGGTCATATACATGCAGAAACTTCGTTGGCTTGTTGTGTGTTGTTGTTCGTAATTCTCTTTACTGGCATTCAGTTCACAGTTCAGTTTGGAGCTATCTCCAATCGCCATCCGCGTCGGCGGGGGCGTGGCTCTGCGGGATATTGTGGGTTTCCCCCATGTCGCTGTACCGCCCATCGGCGGGGGCGCGGCGGACTTCCAATGGGGTGCAGTTGCAGCTCTCAGCATCCGCCAAAACAAAACGGAATGGATATGGGCAGCGCGGGCGCTCAGATGCATTCAAAATGTCGGCGAATGGCGAGTGGTGCAACTCCGGTAGGTCCATCGAGAGAGTGCGCACGCGCGGAGCGTGCGCGGCAGCTTTTTGGCTCACCGCGCCGGCGGGAGAGATGGGGTGGAATGGATCGCGCGCGCTTTCGCAACTCTGGGCCGTGAACCTGTCATCTTCTGTCCTCGAGGGCGGGAGAACGACTGGCGGCGGGCAAGCCGAAAAAAGACAAAAAATGGTCGCCAAGCGCCGCCCAGCGCCGCCCAGCGCGCAGCGATAACACGGCTGGCGGGCTGTGGGTTGTATTCGGAGTTTCTGCGGGCTGTGTTGTATTCGGAGTGTGTCTGATTCTCTACGGCGGACGTATCTGTATCTGAGCAGAAAATCTGACCAGAATAGGACAGGCGCGGTTTTAGTTCTACATACATAGTCAACAACGGCGCCAACGCGATGTCGTATCAGAGCGGCGGGATGGCAGGGTGGCGGGACGGCGAGGCGGGG